GGCACCTGGGCAGCCCTAGTGCTCCCACCCCTGCCCCGCCCCTCCTGAGACCCTGGGGCTGCAGGGAGCTGAGCCGGCCCGTCCCCAGGGCGCGTGGCCGTTCCTGCCGGTCCCCCGGGTCCCCCGGCCGGGCTCCCCTCGGCCCCGCAGATGTGCTGACCTGCACACTGGCCGCTCTCCTTCGTGTAGCCGGCGATGCACTCCTGGCACTGTCCCGGGCCCTTCCCCGTGCAGCCCACACAGGTGGGGTCACATTCTAGACACAGGAGAGACCGTGACAGCAGCAGCCCGGCCTCCGGGAGCAGCCGGGTCTGAAACCACAGCGTGGACAGGCGGGGCCGATGCTGGGAACCAGGCGTCCCACACCCGCTGCGCGGGGCTAACGGCGCCCTGCACACCCCACCTGTCTCCCGGCAAAGCCGTGCCGAGCTGAGGCCCAGCAGGGGCGGGAGCGGGGACCTGCGGGGGCAGCTTTCTCCATGCGACCTCGAGCTCGCGGACCCTGTCCACTCCCTGCTGGAGCCCTGCACGGCAGTGGGGGCGTGAGGGGCCGTCAGACAGGAAGGGCTCGTGCTGTCCACACAGCGACAGGCAGCCTCCCTGGCACAGCCGTCGGGCCCCTGAGGCCCTAACCCACGTCCCTGACCGAGCAATTGGGAAACTAATCCAAAGGCAGGAAGAGCGTGGGAACTCTCAGCAAGGGGTCTGCAGCTGGCAGCTGCGCCACGGCCGGCCCGCACCGCGGCAGGGACGGGAGGAGGTGACGCAGGGACGGGCACCACCCAAGCCCGGACCCCGACGGGAGGCCGCGGGCACCGCGTAGACACGCGAGGCTCCCTCTCCGTGGAACATCTTCTAGTGCCTTCCTGACAGCCCATTCGCATGTTCTGGGTTTTCGGCAGCAAATACCTGCTACCTGCCTGCCCCCTCGGGGTGTTCGAGCTTAGAGGGAGGAGGGCGCGGGGCCACACCTTCGCACTGGAAGGAGCCTCGGGTGTTCTCGCAGAACTGCTGCTCGCCGCAGGGGGGCGTCTCCGCCGCACACTCATCCACGTCTGCAACCAACAGCCCCCGTTTAGCCAGCGGCCCTGCCACCGCGGGGCCCAGGGCTGGTTCCCCAACACGATGCCCAGGGCCAGCCCGGGAAGAGAGTGGCCACGGTGTGGGGACAAGGGACCCAAGTGCCACAGGCAGGGGCCACTACGAGAGACGGGGCTGGGTGAGCGCCCCCTTTCTCACGGCCTCACACAAGCCCTGCAACCAGGCCAGGCTAGGGGGCGGGGTCACACTCGCCCCAACCCTGCACTGGGCATGGGCACACAGCCTGACTGGCTTAAGGCCACGCAGCTCTGAGGGGCGGGATGGGAACACCAGTGATACTGGTGGGAGCCGGCAGGGCCGTGGGGGTGGGAGGTGGGGGGAGGAGCCTGCAGGACAGGGAGGGAGCCTCACCCACGCAGGCGCCGTCCTCCGGGGTCCAGCCCTCTTGGCACTGGCTGCAGTCTCTGTTGGTCGGGCCAGTGCACAGCTTGCAGGACTCGTCACAGGCTGGAGGCAGAGGGGGCGCCGTCAGCAGGGGACAGCCTGGGCTTCCTGCACGTCAGGGGTCTCCCTCCAAGGAGAACACGCGCCGACATGCTGCCAGCCGTGGACTCACAGGGCCCCCAGCAGCCAGTCGGGGTGCCGCCTCGGAGGGCGCTGCCCACGGGCCCATCACAGCCGAGAGGGTCTGTCTGCCTGGAGCTCACTGAGGGGGAGCCCAGGTGCTGGCCCTGAAGACCAGGTGGGAGCCCCACCTCCAACACCAGGGTAAGCGGGGGCGTGTCCTCTGGGAGGGACCTAGGACCAGGAGGTCCTCCATGCGTCCTGCACCCCCTCCGGCCCTCGTCTCCTCAGTGACACGGGCACCCCGGCCTCCGCACCCCACGCCACATGCACCCGGGACGCTCAGCGGGGACCAGGGCCGGCAGTCCTGCAGGAGGGCGCGGGGCAAGCCCTGCACTAGAACATGCCAGGCACCCGCCCGGTCACGAGAAAAGACCCCGTGGAGGTCACAGAACTGCCACCCGAGCTGTCCCCTGGGGGTCAGGAGAAAAGTGACACTTCTCCCCTGGGGGCTGTTTAGGGACAGGAAGTGCGACCACCCGGTGCCTGGTCTTGTCCCTCCCCCGCCCCCGCCCCCACACACCTGGGCAGGAGGCTCGCAGGCCCCGTCCCACCTCCGCGGGCCGTGGTACCTGTGCAGACGCTGTGCGTCGCGTTCCGCAGCGCGCTGAAGTAGCCGTCCACGCAGTCGGTGCACAGGGCCCCGCGGTAGCCCGGGTGGCACTGGCAGGACCCGTCGCCCTGCCTGCTGCCGTCTCCGCTGCAGCGCCCGTTCCCACTGCAGGGCCTCTCGGACCCGCCCTGGCACGCTGTGGGGACAGTGCCATCAGCGCACGCAGGAGGCAGCCAGGCGCGTTCTCACAGAGCAAGTGCCATGTCACTCCCTCGCTGCACGGTCAGAGCTCTTTGGATCTTCTGTAAAGTCCACGCCCGAGCACCTGTCAGGGCAGCCTCACCTGAGGCTCAGAACGAGGAAGCTCGCACGGGGGGCTCTGGAGCTGATGGACAGCAAGACTGTCCGGCAGTGGCCACACGTGACCAGAAAGTGGGAAGGGCAGGCAGGAGGCGGCTTCGGTCAGTGAGGGCCTTACCTTGAAAACTGCCCACGCTGTCCGGCTGACCCCGTGAGGGACTTGGGTAACGCCCAACTGCAAGGGGCCTAGCCCGGACCCACCCCGAGGCACAGCTGCCCACCGGCCGCGGCCCCTCACAGATGGGCCTTTGCTGTGAGGAGAGCTGGCCGGGGCCACGGAGCCGCCTCCCACACGCGTGCCAGCACCGGGCAGGGCGTTAGCAGGAGCCCTCCGGTGACGTGGGTAACTCGGGATCTCGCCAGGAACGTACCGAGGCAGTCTGGGCCATAGGTTCCCGGAGAACAGCAAACTTTCAGCGTTTTCACACAAAACCACTCAAATAAGTCAGGGTGCTCCTTCTTCCTAGGATTTAAACGTGTTCGTGAACCCTCACACACAGGTGCCTCAGAGCAAAACCGCAGTTCCCTGCCGCACACGCTCCCGGCCTCCTGCAACCCGGGAGGCCCCCGGGTGTGCACACCCTCTCCCCAGTCCCGCGGGGTCACTGCCTGAAGGTCACGGAGGACGGCCGGGGCGTCGGGGGAAGCAGCCGGTGTGCGGAAGCTCTCTGACCTGCTTCTGTAACTTCCCTGAGTCCGAGGTTACTTCAAAACCAGGCATTGAAAACAAAGCATTTGTGGTGGTTCCCGTGGCCGGGCGGAGCGGGCGGACACTCACCGCCGCAGCCACCAGGCCTCCAGCTGCTCCTCGTGCTCCTCCACCAGGCGGTTGCACTCGAAGTCGCTGCTCTCACACAGGCTCTCCACGATCTCCATCAGGCGGACCTCGCTGCAAGGCAAGTGGCGAGCACTGGTCAGCCCAGCACCGGTCAGCCCAGCACCGGTCAGCCCAGTACCGGTCAGCCCAGCACCGGTCAGCCCAGTACCCGGTCAGCCCAGCACCGGTCAGCCCAGTACCAGTCAGCCCAGCACCCAGTCAGCCCAGCACCCAGTCAGCCCAGCACCCAGTCAGCCCAGCACGTCAGCCCAGCACCCAGTCAGCCCAGCACCGGTCAGCCCAGCACCCGGTCAGCCCAGCACCCGGCCAGCCCAGCACCCGGCCAGCCCAGCACCCGGTCAGCCCAGCATCCACCTGGTCAGCCCAGCACCCGGTCAGCCCTCCTACAGGGAGGTGCCGAGGCCCCACTAGAGGCCAGGCGGAGCTGTGGGGTGCTATGCAGAGGACTGAACTGAGGGGGAGTTGTCAGGGAGGCCTCTCTACCTTCAGGGTGATGGGCAGAGTCAGGGGGGTCCCAGGGGAAACCCTGAAGCTGGGGGTGGGAGCTCTGGCAGAGGGGAAGCCAGCGACTGACAGTTGGTGGGATGGACTCTGTCCTGAGTCTCGGAGAGGCCGGCGTGTCCGCTGTGTGGACTGGGAGCCAAAGGCCAGCTACGGCCAGTGGGTCAGCTCCAGGCCGGAGCACAGGTGCCAGGCTGCAGGGACCCTCTGTGCTGTCAGTGGGGGTGCCATGCCCCAGGAACAGCCGTGCTGAGGGGCACCCACCTGGACTCATACTTGGACAGCGACTTCTCCTCCCAGGCCGTGTTCCCGCCGCCGAAGTTCTTCTTGGCCGTGTCCACCATTCCCTGCGGGAGGAGGGTGCGCATGGGCTCAGGTTCCCCGTCCCGGTGGGGTGACCATGTACACCTCGGGAGCGACCCGGGGCCATCTCAGGGGTAACCTGGGCCCATGACGGTCCGTACGGGGTGTCCCCGGCCCGTGAAGGGATGTCCCAGCCCATGACGGGGTGTCCCGGTCCATACGGGGTGTTCCCGGCCCATGAAGGGGTGTCCCCGGCCCATGACGGGGTGTCCCGGTCCATACGGGGTGTTCCCGGCCCATGAAGGGGTGTCCCCGGCCCATGAAGGGGTGTCCCGGTCCGTACGGGGTGTCCCGGCCCAGGACGGGTGGCCCGATCCCGGGGTGGCCGGGTCCGGTCCCGCGGGCGGCCCACCTGGTTGAACTTGTCCACCAGCTCCCGGCAACGCTTGCAGGGCGTCGGCTTTGGGGAGGCCCCGCGGGGCAGCCCCAGCAGCAGCCCCAGCAGCAGCCCCAGCGCGGCCCGGGCCGGGGGGAGCATGGCGGCCGAGCGGCACCGGCCGAGTCGGGAAACGGCGCGCTCCGGCCTCCACCGCCCACCGGCTCCGCGCCCGCGGTTCCCGGGGCTACTTGACGGCGCCGGGCCGGGCCCCGCCCCCCGCCAGCCCTCGCGACGCCATTGGTCGGGGAAATCCTCCCCGTCCCCATGTGGCCCAATCAGGGCTCGCCACGAGGTGGCCAATAGGGAGGCCCCGGGTCAGCGTCCGCGGGGACCGCCCCCGGCGCCATCTTTACTCCGGGCGAGCGGGGCGCCGGCCGGGCCCTGGCGGCCACGTTAGGGCCGGGCAAGGGCGCCCCCCGCCCCCCTCCCTTCCCGGCTTCCGGCGCCCCAGTTCCAGCCGCGGGAGCCGAGCCGGCCGCGCTCGGAGAGACGCCTCCGCGGACGGGCGAGGTCAGCGGGCGCTGCGGCGGGCGGGGCCTCGGGGTGGGCGCGCGGGCAGCTGCGCGCAGATGGCGGGGAAGAGGCCGCCGTGCGCGGGCGGGCAGCGCCGGCTGCTGGGGCTGCTGGTGGCCGTGGCCGCCGTGCACCTGCTCAGCTGCCCCTACACGAAGGTGGAGGAGAGCTTCAGCCTGCAGGCGGCGCACGACCTGCTCTTCCACCGGCTGCGCCTGGAGCAGGTGAGGCCGCGCCCCCGCGCCCCCGCGCCCCCGCGCCCCCGCGCCCCCGCGCCCCCGCGCCCCCGCGCCCCCGCGCCCCCGCGCCCCCGCGCCCCCGCGCCCCCGCGCCCCCGCGCCCCCGCGCCCCCGCGCCCCCGCGCCCCCGCCCTCCCGCCCTCCCGCCCTGAGCGCGTCTCCCCCGCAGTACGACCACCTGGAGTTCCCGGGCGTGGTCCCCAGGACGTTCCTCGGGCCGCTGGTTCTCGCCGCGCTGTCCAGCCCCGGGGTCTGCGCGCTCGCGCTGCTGGGCGCGTCCAAGTTCTACGCGCAGCTGACCGGTAAGGGCCGTGGGACCTGGCGACCCGCCAGCTGGAGGGAGGCCCCGCGCTCACTGTCCGCCTGTGGCCCGGCTGCCCTCGGCCACGCAGCACGCGCTTCAGCGCACCGGGCGAGGTCGGACGTCAGCCCTTTCTGGGGTGTGACCCGGGACAGGGAACCCAGCCGGGCGCCCCTCGCCCCTGTGAACTGGGGGTGTCTGCGCCTTCCCGCCCGAGGCTGCCTGTGCAGATCCTCTGGGCCGTTCGGAAGGCTCGCTGCGCCGAGCTCTGCAGCCTCAGCTTCCAGCCAGCAGCACCGTCTCCAGTTCAGTATCCAAACCCCACACCATGTTCATATTCCCCCACGGATGCAAGCACGGCCTCACGGCGCATTTGTCTGGCCTGACGGCGAGCTGTGACCAAGCCAGATCCCCGAGGAGCCAGGTCCCCGAGGAGCCAGGTCCCCGAGGAGCGGCCGCTGGGCTCTCGGAAGGCAGCCTAGGAAGACGCAGTCTGCAGTCACACGGGCAGCTAGACAGGCCAGCTGGTCACGGGGGCGCTGGTGAGCCCTGGGCAGGACAGTGGGGGCCTGTGAGCATGTGGCGCTGGAGGTGTCCCCGCCAAGTGAGGGCTCTGGTGCCAGTTTCGGGCTCGTCACCCCAGTACGGACCCTGCCCATGTCTCACAGTCACAGTGAAGTGTTGGGGCCGGGCCATCCGTTCCCCACATGCAGTCGTTTTTAATACCAAAGACCCTCCCCTCTCAGGGTTGTTTCACTGTCACCAGGCCGCTGACCGACCCCTGCAAGTTAGTATCAGACCCAGGGGCCGGTCACACACCTGTCGCCTCTGTGTTTAGTTAGAGCCGTCCTTGGACTCGGAGTGATCTTTGGACTTTGGACTTTGCAAAAAGAAGTGCGACGGCATTTCGGGGCCACGGCGGCCACCATGTTCTGCTGGATGACGGCCTCGCAGTTCCACCTGATGTTCTACTGCACGCGGACGCTCCCCAACGTGCTGGCCCTGCCCGTGGGTACGTAGTTGATGCCGGTCAGGCCCTGCGATGGCTCCCATGCCTCTCGCTGGGTTTGGAGCACACCTGCCAGGTGACAGGTGAGTGGGTGTCTGTTGAGCACCTGCCAGGCGATCGCTGCTCCCCGTGGGGCGTCGTAGAAACGCCCAGTGACGGGACAGCCCGGGAGGGGGGAGGTGCACTTTCCAGGAAAGGGAGCACCTGGGACAGCTCCCTGTGCAGCCCTGCAGGGACTCGGGGCAGGTGGCAGCTCGCTGTGCGTGTTCTGGGGACGCCCCAGGCAGATTGGAGAGCCACAAGGAGGCCATGGATGGCGTGGGCTTGGGGTTCTGTGCTGACTGATAAAGGCGTGGCCTGGCCGCTCCATGCCTGGGGAGCGGTCCTCTGCTGGACACGGTGTGGGAGGTGGCGAGCAGAGCGCCATTCCCCGTGAACTGTGGGCGGAGCCAGCAGGACGAGCCAAGCATAGCAGGACTGGAGGGGAGACTGGCCACGGTGGGCACTGCACCGTGGGGTCTGGGCTGTGTGACGGTGCAGGATGCGGGGCTGTGGCAGGGGCAGGGGCAGGGGCACGGGCCGGACGGTCCTGAGCGGTGTTTGCTGCTCCTGTGGCTCTCACACGAGAAGTAAAGGCTGTGTCTTGCGGTTCACAGTGCTGCTGGCCCTGGCGGCCTGGCTGCAGCAGCGGTGGGCCCGCTTCATCCGGCTCTCGGCTCTGGCCATCCTGGTCTTCCGGGCCGAGCTGAGCCTGCTCCTGGGCCTCGTGCTGCTGCTGCTGCTCTGCACCCGGCGGCTGTCCGTGGCCAGGGCCCTGCGCTGTGCCGTGCCCGCCGGCCTGCTCTGCCTCGGTGAGTCAGAGTGCCGCCTCCTGCCTGGAGGTAGTACTGGCTTTCATTTCAGAAATGAAGAAAAATGGGGAGGGTTTGATTTTTGTCACTAAACAAAATTCCTTTGAAATCTAAGCAGCAATAGAAAGTCCTTGCCATGCTGCCTGAGCATCCCCAAAAGGTGCTCCCCTCCTTCCACTGCACCCAGGTCATGTGACCCACGGGAAGGTGCCCTTGGGAACCTTGGCCCCAACACACCAGTTCCTTCCTGTGAAGCTGATGGCTTGTGGGGACATGACCCTGGGGCCTGGGACACGGGCCGCCCTCACTCCCCCAGCAGCCTGGGTGGCGTCTGCGCTCAGGGGCCGTGTCCCTTCCTGAGGACCCATTGCTTTGCTAGGACTGACGGTGGCGGTGGACTCCTATTTTTGGCGCTACCTTGTGTGGCCGGAAGGAACTGTGCTCTGGTATAACACCATCCAGAACAAAAGCTCTAACTGGGGAGTATCCTTTACCCGTCACTGTGGGATGGCCCACTGGGCAGGGTGCCGGCGGCCAGGGCCTCGCTCAGGCCAGGCGAGGAGCTGCTCTCCTCCCAACTGTCTCATCCGACGAGGCACCTGAGGGGTGTGGCAGCAGCCATAGCACCAGGACCGGCACCTTCACCCTGTCCTCCCAGGGACCCTGCAGCGCGGGGCTGGGCTCTCTGCTCCGGTCCTGCCCACCCCATGGAAACAACTCCTTGCGTTTGGAGCCCCAGCTGCCCCCTCAGTCCTGTGACCGCTCTCTGGTGTGTAATTGTGGGATATTAAACCCACAGGAAGGACAGTGGGTAGGTCCCCAGTGCACCCGTCACCCAGGGCAGTGGTTTCCATGGAGGGAAAAGCCCTGCACAGCCTGGTCATTGTTCACTGGACGTGCCGCTGCTGCCCAGGCCCAGGCCCTGGGCTCTGTCCCCAGGGAAGGGGATCACATGGTGACCTGAGGCCCGGGGGTCGGGGTGCCCGGACAGAGACACCTGTCAGGCCTGTGTCTTCCCTGTGCTCCTGGCCTCAACCCGACCGGCTGGATGCATGACCATCGCTGACCCGTGGCCTCCTTGACCCTCCCGCCCAGACCTCGCCCCTGCTGTGGTACTTCTACTCGGCCCTGCCCCGGGGCCTGGGCAGCAGCCTGCTGTTCGTGCCCCTGGGCCTCGTGGACAGAAGGGCCTTGGCCTTGCTCCTGCCGGCACTGGGGTTCGTGGCCCTGTACTCGCTGCTCCCCCACAAGGAGCTGCGTTTCATCATCTACACCTTCCCCCTGCTGAACGCTGTGGCCGCCCGGGGCTGCGCCTACCTGTGAGTGCTGGCTCTGCCCGCAGCTACTGAGTCTCCAAGGGGACTATTTGCAAGGGAACCAGGGCGGCCCTGACTGTCTCCAAGGCAACAGCCTTTGGGCCAAGCCCAGGTCAGGATGGGCCACGCACTGGCCAATGGCTCTGCTTGGTCCGTCTTTCTTCAGTCAACCCGGACGCGTGTCTCAGGCCTGTCTGCTCATGGCTGTGCTAAGTGTCCAGGGCGCAGCCACTCGGGGCAGCAGGAGAGAGCGTCCAGGCAAGGAGGGTATGAGGCGGGGGTCAGGTGAAGAAGGGCTGCTCAGAGCGGCAGGCTGGCTCGCTTTGGGGGCTGAGAAAGGGGGCCCTAGTTCATCAGATCCCAGCCGGCCACTTGTGAGCGTGGAGTCCTCCCATGATGCCCTGCACTGAACTCACCCTCCCCAACCGATAGTCCGGCGCGGGGGTAGCAGAGCAGGCCGGTGGGGACCGGAGAGTAAGGGACAAGCTGTGTGTCTGGCAGGAGGCAGCGGTCACTGGGGGCCTCCCTCCCCCCATAGGGACGCAGCAGTTACTCCTGGACATTGATCCTGGGGACTGGGGTGAAGGTTTGGGTGGTAGATTTGCATCTCAAAAGGCAGAAACAGAACTCATACTCACAAGCTCTGCAGTCGCTGCCCGTGAGCGGTCCAGGCCACTGTCCCTCCCCAGGTCGGGCTGGACCGCAGTGAAGACCATGGGTGGAGACATTGTTCACACCGAGGCTCTGCAGTCCTGAGGGGCCACTGCCTGGTTGAGAAGGGCTCAGCGGGGCCTGAGCGGAGTCTGGTCAAGGGTCCCCTGAGCTAACACAGGCCAGCACCTCTGACGGCCCAGGCGGACGGTATTCTCTCCGTGGGCTCAGGTCTCTTGGGGCCTCTGTCCCGGCGCCGTGTCCGCCGGCTCCCTTACAAGCCGCACAGCATTCAGTGTTTGGCCTCGGGGCTGTGCTCGAGCCTGGTCATAACTCAGGGAGTTTCAGTTCTAATATCAATTTTAAATTGTCATTTTGGGTGGAATTTCAGAGAGAAAAATTGTAAGGTAGTTGACCCACTTCCTTTGGTGATTTATATTCCTACTTGGTGATTAACCTCGTTAGGACTCAGCGAAGGGGACCAGCAGGTTCATATTCGTGGTGACATTTCCACCCGTGGCTGTCACTCACTTTCCACGAAACGACTGCTCTTTTCCAGGCTGAACAACTACAAGAAGTCCTGGCCGTACCGAGCAGGCTCCCTCCTCGTGCTCGGGCACCTCGTGCTGAACGCCGCCCACTCGGCCACGGCCCTCTACGTGTCCCACTTCAACTACCCTGGTGGCGTGGCCATGCAGCGGCTGCACGAGCTGGTGCCCCCCCGGACAGGTAGGTGCTCGGCTGTGCGGGACCCGCTGCAGCTCGGGCAGAGGCGCCCAGCCCGGTTCTAACCGCGCACAAGGTTTTCCCCAGACGTTGTCCTGCACATCGATGTGGCTGCTGCACAGACGGGCGTGTCTCGGTTCTTGGAGGTCAACGGTGCCTGGAGGTATGTTCCCGCCATGGTGTCACTGCAGGTGGGGACAATGGTGATGGGGCTGGCGTGGGGCCGTGGCCCAGGTGCACGCGTTCTCCTGTCTTGCAGATACGAGAAGAGGGAGGATGTGCAGCCTGGGTCGGAGCACATGCTGGCCTATACACACCTGCTCATGGAGGCGGCCCCTGAGCACCTGGGCCTCTACAGGGACACACACCGGGTGCTGGCCAGTGTTGCAGGCACCACGGGGGTGAGTCTGAACCTGACCAGGCTGCCTCCCTTCAACGTCAACCTGCAGACAAAGCTGGTGCTTCTGGAGAGACGGCTCAGGCCCTCCTGAGGGAACGCCTAGCGCCCGACGAGAACAGCACAGGCACAACCACACACATGATGTGCCTCCTACCCAGGCCCTGGAAGGCCGGCCAAAGCCACCCCGCCACCCCGCCACCCCTGAGACAGGGACCCCACGTTTGCACTGCACACCAGGGGGCCTGGGCACAGCCGGCTGCCCTGGGAAGCTGCTTTGGGGAGGCAGCCACATCTGCTGCCCGTGGGCCTGAGCACCTAACCAAGTGCAGCCTTTGGGAAGGTCACGTGTCTGTAGCTGTGAAGTCGGAGCCTTCGCACCTGCTGGATGGCGTACCCCGACCTGAATCCCACGCTGGGCAAATTTTTCTCTATCGTCCCAGGGACACAGTTCCATCACGAGGAAATTTCAGACATACACGTTCAAGTGGGATGAGAATTAAAGTTTGTACATCTTTTCTTCTCAGTCGTCTTATATGTGATGTTTCCAGAGAGTGCCTTCACCTAGGTTTTATTTTTATGTGATGAACTAGTGGCCCGGTGCACAAATTTGTGCACATCGAAAGGAAATTAATTAGAAGAAATATTTTAATATCGCTATTTGCCCTTTCTCTATAATAGAAGTGTCAACCAAATTCACGATCGATAATGACAGATCGAAACATGCATTTGCAATTGACGCCAGCGAGAGCTTTATATGTATTGCGCATGTGCAAATCAACTTAGCCTTTTCTAGATATAGAATAAACTTGCTTCATTAGACCTGCTTTCTGATTTAGCTAAACTTTTTCCAGCCCAGTGAAGCACCCCAACTTCCCTTCCAGGTAATTGTCAGCAACACAGCAGTAAATACCAACACGAAGCAGATGATTATTGTACATCACACAGGGAGAACAAAAGGTGAAATATTTAACTGTACCCGTGTTTGACTATATTCTGCACAGTGAGAAAACCTGAAGTCATTTTCAAGCTCCACCATTTCTTGCTTTTCAGTCAGGCCAAGTTTCTAAATCTCCGTTTTTTGGCTAACCGTAAGAAAACAGGATTCCACTGAGTCTCCTATCTGTGTACTTCAGGACTTCTGTGAGGATCAAATGAGATGAGGCATGGAAAACACTAAACAGACATTTGGTTAAATCAATGGTCGGCAAACTGTGGCTCGCGAGCCACATGAGGCTCTTTGGCCCCTTGAGTGTGGCTCTTCCACAAAATACCGACTTCTGCGCATGGGCCACAAAGTTTCAATCGCACTGTACATGCGTGCCCACACGTGGTATTTTGTGGAAGAGCCACACTCAAGGGGCCACAGAGCCGCATGTGTCTCACCAGCTGCAGTTTGCCGACCACTAGGTTAAAGTGTGAAATGTTTCCACCTGGCTATAAAGCAAGTCATATTCCTGGGCTGAAGAAACTGCAAGGAAGCTAGTCACTAGAGAGAGGAAGCCGGAAGTTGCTATGTGATGTCATTACCCAGTGCTCACAGCCACCATTTCCGGGCTGGGCTGGGCTGTGGGCACATTTTGCACCATGGCAGCATCGCCCGTGATTTGGTGGCTGTCGCTCTGGGGTGGTGGCGAGGCCTGGGTCCCACTTGGGGGCAGCCGAGTGTTGCTTTATTGGTGCCAGGTCTGCCGTTTCTAGGTAAATGGCCAGTGCGCATCACAGCAGCTCCTGCGTTGAGCGTCTGCCCCCTGGTGATCAGTGTGCGTCATAGTGACTGGTTGGACAGTCTGACACTTAGCATATTAGCCTTTTATATATATAGATTGGGCACATTTATGCTTTACTGAACCACATTTATTAAGTAGCCAAAGTGTGTCCGACACCGAAGTTAATACAAAGGGTGTCGTTGCACATGTGTGCACACACTACCACATGCACACACACGTGACTTAAGTGCATAAAAACAAGCTATTGTTGGAGCATTTGAGAATGAGTTGCCTATTGCATGGCCTGGACCCCTGAAAACCCTGGTGTGTCTAGGAAAGACACCTTGCAGTCACTGTTTGCTCCACAGCAACTGACTGGCAGACTGCAGACCCTCAGACCAGGACCTCCTGCAGCTGTGCCACACTTGGCGACTGACCATGCGGCCAGCAGTCTGCAGGGCCTCCACACCTGCCAGTCAGCACTGGGCACTGTATGTGTGTGAGTTCTCACCTGCCCCCATTTATCAGTTTGTCATCAGTACTTGTTATTTATCTATGACTGGCATTTGTCGCTCATAGGTAATTTCTCAGCATTCAAATATTTGTCAATTATTGGCATGTGTGTCTGAGTTGCTGCTGGGCCTGGTGGTCTGAGAGTCACCCCGTCTACTTATCTTGTGTTCAGATTGTGCAGGATTCACTCCACGGGGTTGTCAGACCGACACATGCCCCATCATGTTAACTTCTGGAGCACTGTCCTACTTCTTGGCATAAGGTGTGCACTCTCGCTCTTCTAGGCCTCTGTCCACACCCTGGAACCAGCCATTTCTCTGAGGGCACCTTTTGGCAGGGAATGGTTTTACAAACCAAGATCTGGCACAAGTGTGCTAACTGCTATTGGTACGTCTGTTTCTAGGTCCCTCCAGTGGACCGAGCTAGGCAGGCTAGGGGTGCTGTGTGTGTGTGTGTGCGCGCACACACACACACACACACACACACACACACACACGTGAACGAGAAATGGTGTGTACCAACACCTCCAGTCCCACCAGTACATGGGCTTGTGTTTGTCTCCCGCAGTCCACACCTGTCCTGGCTCCCACCGTGAGACCCTGACCCCAGCAATAGCAGGCGTTTGCTCAGCAGGGTAACTAGCTTTGGAATCGCTTTGCCATATGACTACGGAAACAAACCCGTGGGACAAAGCTCAGCTCTTTGCAACCTTCACTCTAGTACCCATGACTGGGGTTCAAAGGTCAAACACTGTCCTGGATTAGTTCCCTGGATGGCTTTTCATCTTATTTATCGTTGGGTTCACGCTTTCCGCTTGCTTTAGTCTTGAGATCTGACTTCCCATTCTTTCCAGTCGGTCATGGCCAAGGTCTGTGCAAGGATGTCACTCCCTCCATTTCCTGTCACTAATGCCCTGGTTTCCTTGGCTGCCCTGGGCTTCTGTGAAGGTCAGCAAAAGCTCCCTTAATGCATTCGGTACCTGCTCTCCTGGAGCACTTGGAGTCACTCTGCCTGTCCCTGCAGGGGCCTTTGTGATTGAGACACACTGTCATCCTGTGTATGTGGACGCTCATTTCTTCAATCTCCTATGTGGGCATTTAGGCGGTTGCCAATATTTTCAAACTTCATATGATGCTGCTTCAACTACCCATATGCATTTGTACTTTCATACGGCTTAAGGGGCATTTTCAAGGTAAGTTCCTAGAGGTGAGGTACTGGATCATGGTCAGTGTGTGTTAGCTTGGCTCAGTCTTGCCAAATTCCTCTTCACGGAGCAGCCTGAGACCGAAAGGGTCAATTAAGCCCCATCAAACTGCCAGTCTGTGAGGTGAGTGGTGGTGTCTCACAATAGATCTGCTCTTCCTCCCCTGGGGGTTGGTGTCCTACAGCTTTAAGGGCTCTCTTTTCAGTAAATGGTTCACATCTCTTGTCCATTCTCCTTTAGATTGTTGGTCATTTTCCTTTTCATTCTACAATTCTTCCGTTCGTAGGGTGTTCACCCATTATTGCAATGTGTGTTGAAGTAGTTTCCCCGTTTGTTTTCTGACTCTACAGATGTTCTCAACTTGAGGTTTTCATGTTTATGAGTCCTTTTTCCCGCAGTGTAGTTGGGAGGTTCCCCACAGGAGTTCAGCCTCATCTTGTCTCCATGCTTCTGTAGATTCTTTTTCACATAAAGACCTGTTACTCGTTTGGCTTTTGATTTTGTACAGTGTGAGGAGTAGGGCTAATTTTATCTTTTTCACTGGTGTGTACTTACTAAAGGTCTATCTTTGCCTCAGAGATTTGAAGTCAGAAACTGAAATACATTAAGATTTGACAATCCTACATAATAAAAGCCTAATATGCTGTGTCCAGTTGTCCGTTCAACCAATCAAAGCATAATATGCTAATGATATTGCTAAGGCTGCTCAACCGCTCACTGTGACATGCACTGATTGCCAGGGGGCAGATGCTCTGACTGGTAGGTTAGCTTGCTGCTGGGGTCTGGCCGATCAGGACTGCGGGAGACGGGCCGGACATGCCCTGGAGCCCTCCCACAGTCCCTCCCTGGCTGATTGTTCACCAGTGGGGTCCCTCAGCCTGGCTTGTGCCCTCTCACAATCTGGGACCTCTCAGGGGATGTCGGAGAGCCAGTTTCTGCCCGATCCTGCAGGCCAGGCCAAGGGACCCCAGTGGTACACAAATTCATGCACCAGGCCAGTTACAAATAAAGCTCCTTTAAATAGCCGTGTGCAGGTTTTTGTGTGCATGTTAAGTGTCCTGTTCCTTTGGGTAATAACCAAGGAGCATGATTGCTGATTGTAAGGTGAAAATGTGTTCAGTTTTGCAAGAAACTGTCTTGCAGAGTAGATGCACCACATCACATTCCCACCAGCAGTGAGCGAGCGTTCCTGCTGCTCCATGTCCTCACTAGCATCTGGTGGTGTCAGTGTTTGTTCCTGTCTCTTCAATCTGTTTGTTGCCTTGTGGTGCCTTGTTTTTCCTTGAAAGCCAGACAAGATGCACCAAGTGGAAGGAGCTGATGTAAATAGGTCTTAGTGACATGGTGGAGGAGTGGGGGGAGGGGAATGTTGTGTGGGCCTAAGATTTTTTTTTTTTAATTTATTGATAATGGAGAGAAGAAGTAAAAGAGAGGGAAAATGAAACATTGATTTGTTGCACTTATTTAGTCATTCACTATTTGCTTCCTGTATGTGCCCTTATGGAGATCAAATCCACAACCTTGGCATCCTAACCTTTATCATCCTAAGAAAAAGCCAGCATGCTCAAATTTCCAGTAGAAAATGGCAAATAAGTTTAGTTTCAGAAACTGAGTTCCCCATTTATAAATATACCAAAACATAGTCAGTGCAAAGTGAGATTAATAACAGGTACAGTATTTTGAGGAAATAACTTTTCTAAAATGGCACAGACAATGAATGATTTATTTCACCCAGAATATTTATTTGGTGTGAAATAAGAAAATGAACCCTTTTCTATATGTTGAAGCAAAAATTCTGAAGACATATTAAAAGAATCTGACAATTGACACTTCATTCTGATGTCCCTGGGATTCTAAAATACCCGTGATGGCCGAGTCTTCCGTATTATAAGAAAAACCTAAACACCTAAGGCTATTCTTACAACTGTTACATAACAACATTCTTCCCTGTTAATAAACCACCTCTTCTACAAAGAATTTTACACATATTTTGATCAAATTGGGGGGCACTACACACATTTCAAAAGACAGCTTCAAAGTGTAGAGACACTAAGTCAGAGGCTTGGAGGTTCAATCACCAGAACTGCTATAAACATGTCATGTGGTCCACTGGCAGGACAACAGGCAGCAAGGAGCATGTTATAAATATTCAGGATGTCCCCGAGTTAACACCATGTGTAACCTCAACATAAAACCAGAACATGGGGAAGTTCTCCTTACAAACACCATGTAACTGACATTCCATGATACTTCTGTTTAGTTTTGTCTTCAAATGCCACATCTCTGTTGTAGCGAACAGTATCTTCCAGAATATTCTCTGCACTCCTCACATACGTATAGGGCTACAGGTAAAAACCACTCAGTCAGGATGGCTTCTACTCCACCTATTTCCAGATTTTATTTGACAGCCACAAAGGCTGTTTTGTTGCAACTAAAGGAATTTTTAACTAAAATACAGTACCTGATTTGTTCTTGCATAATTAAATATAAAGGCTACAGAATAAAAGTGTTTACCGTCTTCTAGTAAAATGAATTACTAATCCCTGCTTTTTATTTTGACAGTTTCTTAAAGCTGGGAACAGGGAAACACGCAAGGATCTGAAGAGAAGGAGCAACAGAAAGAGACAAGGTGGGGCTGCTGCAGCTCACTGGGAAGTCAGAGAAGGAAGGCGGCCTTGGGGACAGGATCAGGGAGCCAACCTGGATTCGCGGCTGCTGCCCACCACTCTCCTATTTAAGTCTCATGGAGTCCCTTAGAGTTTAGGAGATGCACACCTGAGAGGGATGAAGAGGAAGAAGGGAAAGGCATGGGAGTGCTCCCAAGGAGAAGAAAAAGATCAACTCCCAGTTTTTAAAAAACTTTATAGTTATGGGTTAAAACCTAATCATCCTGTTTCATAACTGACAGGACAGGCTATTTCTAGTGTCTTTGTAAAAACACACCGCGGTACCTGGCTTGAAGGACTTGGAGTAAGGCACATATAGACGTTACGGTGAGACTGCAAGAGAACTCAGTGTGGACCTGAGAGTGCCCGGTCTGATGTCCCCCTTGGCACCAACTGGTGCCAACCAACAGCCTGTGACAAACAGCTGGTGCCTAATGAGCAACAACACCTTTAGCCTGGTGGCCCCATTGTGATTTCAATACTGAAAATATATTAATGGAAGATTCACTTTCAAAAAGATAAGTTTTTCAAAATGTTCCATCATGAGCCTGGACTGGCCAAAACTACCGTTCTCAGTGGGTGTGCTGAACAGCCTTTCTGAAGGGACAATACTCGGGGGACAGCCCAAAAACCTGACGGCCAAGGCTGAGAGTCCTGGCCAGGCAGACTTCTTTAGGTTCCAGTAGGTAAGTGGGTCACAGCTGTGTTCAAGCACCTCCTCCTCCAGGTAAGAAAGCACCATGGCCTCAGGAACCTTCATCTTTTCTCTTGGGCCTTTCTTTTTTATCTTGGCCATGAGTGACCACAGGCTCTCATCCCCACTGGAGTCTCTCGATGGGGAGCCTGGAGGACACCCATTGGAGACAGGTATGTCCTCTGAGGTAGAATTCAGCATTTCTAGTTCCCTGATTAAATCCTGCTTGTACTGCTCCGCCTCCTCCTCGGAGAACAGGGAGGCTTTGTAACGAGGGTCCAACAGTGTAGCAAAGATGTACCTGGGGTCGTGGAGGGTGGCGGACAGTCGGCTCACCATGGCTTCCTTCAGAGACTTCAGCATGGTGTCGATGCCCATGGTCTCCTCAAACAGCATCTCGATTTTTCTGTTCAGAATGTGGATCATGGGGATGACCTGGCTGAGGGTAGACATGTGGCCACTCATCTCCCGACTCGCAGCATCAAAGGGCTTCAGCGCATGACACACAGACTTCATGACCTCCCACTGGTCACAACTGATCAGTTCTCTGAAATTACACTCGATGGACATCTCGTTAATTGCTCTCTTCTGCTCAATGAGCCGTTCGAGCATATGAAACGACGTGTTCCATTTGGATGGGACGTCCTGAATAAGGTGGTGGGGCGGCAATTCATACTCCTTCTGCAGCTCTGCCAGTTTCTCTTTTGCTGCATGTGAGCGAAGCACCCGCTCACATAGCTTCCGAGCAATGCTGAGTAAATTCTGCACCATTCTCTGGCTTTTAATGGCCTCGTTGACAATGAGGTTCACCGTGTGACTGAAGCACTGCACGCTGGAGTGCTCCCCTTCATTCAGCGTCTTTCCTATGCTGGGATTGTCAGTCACTGTAATGCCAACCTGAAGGCCAGTGGATGTCACCCAGGCCTCCCACCAACATTCCAGCTGCTTCTGAATGCTGTTGCCGCTATAGTCGCAGTCAATCTGTGACACGTCTAACAGTGCTGAGCAGTGGTGATCCTCACAGTGCCAGACTGTTGACTTGAAGGTGATCCAGTGAGCAGTGAGTGTCAGGTACTCCCGGGTCTGGTTACTCATCCATATTCCAGACGTGAAGTGAACCATGCCACTCTCAGCCTCCTTAAGGTGTGACATAATGATTTGTTTCACATTATCGTACATTGCGGGGATAGCTGTCCTGGAAAAGTAGGAAGGGGAGGGCAAAGAGTACTGAGGTTTCAAGTATTCAAGCAGCCTGTTAAAGCCAACATTATCAACAAAAGAATATGGCTGAAGGTCAAGTGCAATCATTTCAGCTATGAGACTTGTTATCTTTTTGGCAACTGGATGAGAATCATAAAACTTCTCATCAGTGTCGTCAAAGGAGGAAGCTCCTGACAATTCTGCGCTCAGGGGCACACTGACGCCTGGAGGAGAGGGCAGCATGGTCTTGGGGGCATCGGTCTTCAGCACACTGCCGTGAAACCTTTGTAAATGCCTCAGAAGACAGCTGGTGCCCAGGTTAGTTGGCTTCTTGCCCCTGCTTATTGTCCGGCCACAGTGCAAGCACACGACTTTAGTGGGGTCTGCAGAGCACACAGAAAAGTGATTCCACAGCTTGGAGGTCTTTTTACTGTGAACGGGAAATAGAACTGGACTGCTTTGGGTAACCACTGCTGGAAGGTCAGTTAGTTTGGAGGAAGTTTCTGTGGATGCCAAGGTGTTGTATGGAGGGTTTGCCAAACTAGCCCCCAGGAAGCCCTTTTGGTTCCCAACAACTTCTGGGTGGCGCCTGTAGAGATGTCTCATCAAACAGCTGGTGCCCACATCACCCTTCTTTCCTCGACTGATGACACAGCTGCAGTGTCTGCACACCGCCTTCAGACTGTCCATGGGGGCGAGGGAAAAGTGATGCCAGACCTCCGACTTCAGTCTCTTCATCACCTTTTGATTCTGTTGGAATATAACACCAGACTCAACCATGTGAGGGCTCGACCCATCACGCTGGTGCTTCTCAGGGGAGGACACCAACGAGGCCTCGCCCACATCATCAGAGGATGACAACACTGATGCATCTTCCATCGGTGAATCCCCAGGCTTCAGACGTGCCTGCAGTTGCTCAGTCAGCTGGTCAGGGGAGGAGGACGCCGAGGGGGACTCTTGTACCTCGTTGCCTGGCGATGAGGACATAGGGCTTGGGTTTCCCTCCTGCGTTGGTAGGGTGGGCAACAAAGTGGTGGGTGTAGAGTACGGTGGCGTAATAGCTGCACCCACACTCTTCTCCTGCAGTATGATGGCACGGTGTGCCCGCCACATGTGCCGGATGAGGCAGCTGGTACCCAGGTCCTTCCCGTTTTTCCCTCTGCTGAACTCACTCATGCAGTGAATGCACACGGCCTTGGAGCTGTCCAGAGGTGACAGGTAGAAGTGCTTCCAGACTGCAGACCACCTTCGGGATCCAGAGGTACTCTTTGGAAGTGGAAAGCTCTTCTCTGGCCCACTCTCTGCAGAGTCATCATGCTGGGGAGTGGGGAGTGGTTGGGGTGGCTCCACCAGGGCTTCTTCCTGCCTATACTTCTCAGAGATGGATACATCAGAGGAGACCTCTTCAGAAGATACGACAGATCCAGATTGTTCTGTCACTTGCTCAGTAGATGGGATCTTGGAGGCTTTTTTCTGGACAAGTTTGATGGGTGACAGTACGGTGCCCAGGTCTCCAAGGGGTGTGGGCTGAGCAGGGAACACCAGTGCAGGGGAGGAGATGGATCCCAGGGTAGACACACTGCCTTCCTCTTGGATGAGTGCTGTGGGGTGCGCCCTCCTCACATGCCGCATGAGACAGCTCGTGCTCAGGTCCTTCTCGTTTTTGCCGCGGCTGAACTCTTTCATGCAGTAAACACACACTGCCTTCGTGCTGTCCTGAGGAGAGATGAAGAAATGTTTCCAGGCCGGAGACTTCTTCCTGGAGTTCATGCTGCGGCTGGACAGGAGGCTCTGTGTCACAGCTTCCATGGCAACATCATACAACGTGCTGCTGTACTGTGAGAACAGGGCCCCATAGTCGTCCTCGTGGTCGGCAGGGAAACACTTCCCTGGGGGCTTACAGCTGTAGCTCGCTTCTCTGATCTCTACCTGTTCATCACCACTGCCAGCTGCTTTCCTGTCCTCTTGTTCAGTCTTAAAGTCCACTCTTTCCAAGCTGTGATTCGGAATTCCATCATCTTCTTCAATTTTAAAATTTATTTTATCAGAAACTAAGTCACCATCCCCTTTGGGGGAATGGGTTTCCTGGTTATTTTCCATGACTCACCATAACTATTCTGGCTGTGTCGTCATGTTGGTATCTCAGGTTGGTAAGAAAAAGATCCAAGCTCTCAATTTGCCCCAAACATCCATTATCTTCAGTGTTTTCAAAATAATTCTAACTTTTGGGATGTTCATGAATACGGCTAATCATACATGTTACTGGAGAGCAGAAGCTGCAACTCAGGAGCACATCATCTCAGGGCCCAGACCACTGCTTTCCAGGAGTTTTATAAAGTACTTCTTGGTGCAGACCTAAATTCATGCTGTGTATACCTGCTTGTTGCCTTGGAAACAGGATCGCCGCCATCTTGATGGTCCTGCATTACCTACAAAAGATGAAATCAGCTCAAGCACTTAACTGATTTACGCATTTCAAACCTTGTAATGTCAGGGATCTATCAGCTTTAATTTGCATATAAAAAAATTCTATAATGGTAAATTAAAATAGAAAAACTTGTTCTTTGATTTTTTACAGTCCACTTACACAATGAAAATACCCCCAAACTGGAAAATAAATTACAAAATAAAGATAGGAATTTAAACTCAAATAGCCCATTAATGAAGGATTGCAGCAACACAGAAAAAACCTTGCATGTCATACAGAGGTTGGTTTGGGCTAGAATTGATGCCTGTACCCGCCATCCATGTATTGGCAGCACCTGCTGCTGCTATAATCAGCAAAGCTGAACTCCCTGAAATCAACTTCATTCCCCTTTGGTATCAGAAAGGACACATCAATGAGGAACTAAGAAGCCTGCAGCTAATCTCTGAAACAACCAATTCACAGACTAAACACTGATTGTCATGCAGACAAGGAGGTCCCTGCTTAAAACTCACCCAGTATGTTTAAATCTATGAGTTTATAATACCAAAATAAAGTCAACTGGTCACCTTTGGAGGATGATAGGAAAATGATTCATTATTTTGAAAACTGATGCAGAGTGAGCATGAAAGTGAGAATTCTCCTGGGTGGGGTTTCCCATTCTTAACCTGGCAGTGCTTGATCAGACTTGGTGACTTACCAATATAAGGAGCACCTTTCATTTAATGGTCTTAAATGCTTTTACAACTAAATATATTCAATTTAGAAAAGCCTATTTTTCCATTTTCCATTCAAATCAAAGCACACTAAATAAAAACTACACCAAGATACCGGGTCTCACTGGATCAGACGGGCAAAGACCCAAAAGCTTGGCAACCTCTGTTATGAGGCTGTGCAGAGTCCTGGTGGGGTGCACACTGGGACCACACCCATGCAGAGGACCTTGCATTTTCCCATGGACCCAGCAATCCCAGTGCTAGAAACAGACCCTGACCACGGCCCTCACCAAGTACAAAACAACATCTGCCCAAGATTAGTCCCCATGGCATTTCACAGCCAAAGGTCTGAAAACCACTCAAACACAATCACTACAAACTGACACCTTCATAGACATGTTGAATAATCAGCAAGACACACAAGTGTAAACGGTACTTGCAACCTGTTATGAAAGACAGGAGGGAAAGCAAGGGCAGCTATAGGTGCGCACATGCCTATTTATGCAGGATAAAGCAGAAACAGAAATGGCTGTCTGTAAGTGTGGGAGATCAGGATGTAACTGAGATTTCTGATCATATCTCGTATAATTTTGATTTATGAGAGCCATGTAATTATTTTGTACATAAAAATAAAATTTAGCCATAACAGGTATGGCTCAGTGGATAGAGCGTCGGCCTGCGGACTGAAAGGTCCCAGGTTCAATTCCGGTCAAAAGCATGTACCTTGGTTCCGGGCACATCCCCAGTGGGAGGTGTGCAGGAGGCAGCTGATCGATGTTTCTCTCTCATCAATGTTTCTAACTCTCTATCCTCTCCCTTCCTCTCTGTAAAAAATCAATAAAATATATTTAATAAATAAATAAATAAAATTAAAAAAATTCCAGCCCTAGCCAGTTTGGTTCAGTGGATAGAGTGTTGGCCTGCGAACTAAAGGGTCCTGGGTTCGATTCCGGTCAAGGACACATGCCCAGGTTGCAGGCCTGGTCTCCAGTGGGGGGCATGCAGGAGGCAGCCAATCAGTGATTCTCTCTCTCTCTCCCTGTACCTTCCTCTTTGAAATCAATAAAAATATTTATTTAAAAATTCCAAATTCAAACCAAAGAAACCTAATTGTATATCAAAGAGGCAATATAACCACAAACAAAAGAATATTCATCAAGGGCTTTAAAACATATACCTTAATTATCCGCTGTCAGCCGGGGCCGGGCCGGGGGCGGGAGGGGCTGCAGAACCGCGGCCCAGTCGGTATCCAGGCCCCGAGAGGCCGCGTCCCCCGGCCCCAGCCCCGGCCTCTGCCAGGCGCACAGAACCGCGGCGGCGCGGCCCGGCCAGGTCCCCGACCCGGCCACGACCCCTGACCCACGGCCCCGACGGCCGCGCCGGGCGCGAGCTCGCGGCTGAGGCGAGGCCGGTTCCGTCCGCGCACTCACCGCGGGCGGAGGGCTCGGCGGCGGGTTCCGCGGGCTGCGGGCCACGGACGCGCAGGCGGACGCGCTCCCATTCATTAGCCGCGGCTTTGTCTGCCCCCGCGGCCCTCCCGCCGCCGCCGCCGCCCACCAGGCTGCCCTCGACGCCACGAGCCACTGCTCCCCTCCCAGGGCCCCGCGCGGCGAGGGGCGGGGCCGGGGAGGCCGGAACGCGCAGGCGCAGTGCTGAGTCCCTGGGACTCGCCGACTAGAGGCTCCGGCTGCAGCGGCCGAGAGCGCCGGGGCGGACTGCGCAGGCGCCAAACTCGCGCGCCGCCCCGCCCCGCGCAGCTCTGCTGAGGCTGAGGGTGGGCGCGCGCTCCAGCCCGCCGGGCGGCACCCAACGCGCAAGCGCAATCCCCGCGCTCCGGCGCCCACCGCAGGACGGTCGGGAGAGGTCACTGGGGTGCGGTTTGGGACGCGGGTCCCACTCGGGCGCACTCCCTCAGCTCCGGGTCCTCAGCGGCAGGGTCCCGAGCCCTGGCGGGGCAGTTGCGCTCCAGGCTGGGTGCGCCCGCCGCGGCCCTTTGATGTGTCCGGCTGCGGGCCCGCGCCCAGCCGCTGGCCTTGGGGCGCCTGAGCCTTGGGGACGCGAAGCCCAGCCGCGGAGACCTGCCCCGCGTGCCCTCCGCCGGGTGCCGCAGCGCCCCGAGGCCGGCTCCTCCGGAAACGCGCCCCGTGTCGTGCTTCCTGCCCCCGAGCCCCGAGGCGGTGGCGGCCACGTGCGGGGGCCCCGAGCCTGTCCCTCTCGGGAGCAGGTGCTCCGTGCGCGCCTCGTCCGCTGGGGCTGGGACTGAAGGAGCCCACGCGGAGGCGGCGGCACCAGCGAGGCCCCGGGCGGCGGCTCCTGAGCGGCCCCCGGTAGAGCCCGGCGGTGGCGGGTGCGGGCCGCGGGCCTCCAGCCCCTGCGGTTCCTGTAGGGAGTCCGGGCGTGTGAGGAACAGGCCCTAGTGCGCATGTCTGTTCGCCAGACTGTGGCTCAGAGGCCCCTGTTTCCCGCCCTGGTTTGGACCAGGCTTCTGTTGCATGAAATGGGGTGAATGTTCACATTGCAAGTCTCAGTGTGATTAGAAGGAGTGGACTCAACAATTATCGGCCTAGTTTTGTAAAGTGAGATCCCGCGCCCCTCTTGCCATCAGTGGCTCTCCCCCCCTCCCTCAGCCCGACACCCCCTCCTCTGCACCCCCTGAGCCCACTCATTCCCCTCCCTCCATCCTCAGGAGCCTTGCTTCCATGAACTTGGCGCCTTCTCACACCCTCGATGACTGACTTGTTCCCACAGCTCAGTGGCAGAGTTTTGTTCTCTCAGTTGTAAAAATTCTTAGTCCGGAGGGTGTTCACCCGTTATTGCCGTGTGTGTGGAAGTAGTTTCCCTGTTTGTCTTCTGACGCTGCAGATGTATGTCCTCAACTCGAGGTGTTCGTGTTTGAGTCCTCTTTCCCGCAGCGCAGTTGGGGGGTCCCCCCCAGGGGTCCAGGCTCGTTGTCTCTGGGCGCTTCTGTGGAGTCTTCCTCACGTGTAGACCTCTCACTTGTGTTGGGCTTTGGTTTTGCACAGTGTGCGGAGCAGGGCTAATGTTATCTTTCCCGCGGGGCCGTGTGCAGGTGTGTGTGCGCCTAAGCGTGCGGTTCCTTTGGGTAAATACGGAGGAGCATGGTTGCTGATTGTAAGGTGAGAATGCCTTTAGTTTTGTGAGAAATTGGCAAACTGTCTCCCAGAGTGGCCACAGCACGTTGCAGTCCCACCAGCAGTGAGTGAGCGCTCCTGCTGCTCCGCGTCCTCACCAGCATCTGATGGTGTCAGTGTTGGCTCCTGTCTCTCCAATCTGTGTGTTGCCTTGTGGTGCCTGTTTTTTTTTTTTTCTTGAAAAGCCAGACAAGATGCACCAGATGGGAGGAGCTGCTGTAAATAGGTCTTAGGTGTGGCGAGGTAGGGGGACGGGGTGTAGTGTGGTCCTGAAATTAAGCTCAATCTTTAGTAAGTCTGTGCCTTCCTCAGTTTTCTTCTAACCCTGGCTGGGACAGATGCTGGAGGGAGTGGAGTTGCTCTCTCCCTTCCCCTGTCAGCTGTGCCCTGTGTGGTAGTGTCTCCCTAGGGCCGGCCCTGTTAAGATCAGGGTGCTCTGACACCTTTTAATGGCTCCTTCCCCTCCTCCTGCTGGAAAGACGAGGAGACCTATCTCTGCTATTTGCTGTGGGAACCTCATGCTCCTGGAGGATCTTGCCATAGGGTGGGGGCCCCCTATAACTGGATTCTTTGTTTTGTTGTTAATCCTCACCCGAGGATATTTTTTTCTTTCTTTTCTTTTTTTTTTTTTTAAGAGAAAGTGGAAGGGAGGGGGAAGATATAGAGGAAACATGGATGTGAGAGAAACATAATGATTGGTTGCCTCCTGCACACAACCCAACCGGGGCTAGGGATTGAGCCTGCAATCAAGGTACTGCCCTTGACAGGAATCGAACCTGCAACCCTTCAGTTTTCAGGCTGATGCTCTAACTGCTGAGCTAAACTGGCTAGGGCTCCCTGGAGTTTTTAACTCTGCCGAGTTTATGCTGAGCCTACAGAGATTCATTACTTATGGTTCAGGAAACCCCAGGCGTAGGTTCCCCAGGCAGTTTCAGCTCACGAGTCTCTGCTCCAGGAAGTCATGATGACTTGTGTTCACATGTCTGTCTCTCCGGTCTTGGGAGCAGGGGTTTACCCTGTGTCCTCCCTTGTCTTACAGAGCCCAGAAGAGCAGCATCGTTTCAGTTTGTTCGGCTTTTTACTTGTTAGGATGGAGTGGTGACTTGCAGGTTTCTTACATGAGGAACCCAAAACCAGAAGTCATTTGGTGTGTGTGTGTTTTTCATGTATCAGTCTCTTAAGTCATGCAGAAAACAAAACCTGAAGTGAGAAAAACGTTGCTACAATAAGACTTGCTTTTATAATTGCCTGTCTATGTTGTTTGAA